AGAGAGAGAGAGAGAGAGAGAGAGGAGAAGAGAGAAAGAGAAAAGGAGAAAGAGAAAAGGAGAAAGAGAGAATGGGTGATATTCATTTACACCAGTTTCATTATTTATTCAAAATGTTTTCTTTTTTAACTTCAAAGTTATCGTCTTGTAGATGTGGTATAATTTGTGGAATGGAGGTCTCTTTGGTAATTGCCTCCAAGAAAAAATATGTTCACAATCATGTCTTAATATAGGACATGCAAAACAAGTGTACATACGTTATCCACTGTCTCTATCTCTTTACTCCTCATCAGTGCTACCAAGCAAGAAGGAGTGGGTGAGGGTGTGATGGTTTAAATTATATTTAGAGGGATTTTTCGTAGTGCCCCGTAGATCATCAAAGGTGCGTCATATAATGTGTTGGGAAGGTGTCAATATTGCTTGTGAACTTGTGAAGAAGTTTGATTAGATGAAGTTCCGTGAGTACAATTGTTCACTAAGTGTCTTTCAGTTGTTGTTTTTTATATATACATCTTTGGAAATGTGAACTCCTTCTTTTGCGAGTGTCCGTTTTGACATATTTTGTCCCTGCCCTTTCCTTCCCAGTATCGCCGGAGGAGCATGAGACCCTGGGCGTTTTGTTTTGTCCCCCCACCCAGCCACACCCACCTGCGCTCTTTCTGTCCATGCAGGGACACGCCCCTCTCTCCTCCTCTCTGCCTCGATCTCACGACGACGACCTCTCTCCTCACCACAGCCCCTTTTCATCTGGTCCGTCCTCTGTGCACTCTGGCCACAAACCTGGCCCATCTTCCCATCGCCCAAGTCACTCGTCACACCCCTCGTCCCACCAAAGTACGAACAATTCACCCCACCCTTCGTCCCACCAAACGAACAATTCGCCCCACCCTTCGTCACACCAAACGAACAATTCGGCCCACCCCTCGCTCCACCAAACGAACAATTCGGCCCACCCCTCGCCCCACCAAAGTATGAACAATTCGCCCCGCCCCTCTGCCCACCTCGCCCCTCTTTCTTCCGGCCCGCCCTCTCACGCTTCCTGGGCATGGGATCGAGACGGCTACCCTAAGCGGCCTCACAAGACGTCGAAACGTAAACATCACGGCGACCGAGTGATTCCTTCCTTTTTCCCTCTTTCGTTGGTCTGCTCAACGTAATCTAAATACGTACTTTAACCGCATTAAACTTATTATCATTTCCCTCTATTCTAACCGGTGCCTTAAACTGGCTATGGTGTTCATAAGGAATGTACCTGTATCTCGTTTTACCTGTTCTTGGTTATGCCTCCCCCCCCCCCTTTCCCTGTCCCTTCTAACCTCCTTTTGCCCTTTCATTTTTCGATAAAAATCAGGCGGATTTAGAATGTGTCAATCCATCTCGATTTCATTGTCGAGTCAGGATCTGAAAAAATGAGTGAAATGTCCACAGCATACGGGCCATTTGTAAGGGATGTATCATTTTTGTTTGTTAGATCAGAATGCATCCAATGTCACGCCAAATAGCTGAACGTTTGAGTGATAACAAGGGTATTGAGACAAGTGGCTATCCGTTTATAAGACGAGAAGTTAAGCGATTAATTGAAGAGATTGCATCGTCTGCTTCAGTACCATGGAGGTGAAGAGAAAAGAACAAAATGATTCGAAAGGCATTTCGCTAATTCTGTTACAGGAAAAGGAACAGAGGGACAGGAGGGCCTTAATTCACAAAAAGGCGATGGCGGGTGAGGGGGAGGGGGCTTATTTTTGAAAAGGCCATTGGGGCCTCAATTCACTAAACGTTCACTTTGGGCCTTAATTTTGAAAAAAAAAAGCGACGTGAAGACTTTCCCCTGTGTTGTGTTAATGATACACCCGATTCTGTCATCTGTTTGCTCATTGAACTTCTGGACATTTCCCTCTCCTAACACAGTACTAAACCATCTTTTCTCTTTTGGCTTTTCCCGATGTTCTCCAATTTTTATTGATGGAAATGAAAGCAAATCGCTTTCTTTCTGTATTGGCATTACGCTCATTTCTTATTCATCCCTTTCGCTGCTGCGTTTGTCGTGCACAACCCAAGAATCGGAGCTTCTGTCGACAGACGTTCCTCTGTTCCACTCCCCTCCGAGCTTCTTCTCATTTCCTTTGGTCTCTATTAATGTGTGCGTGGTTCTGGAAATTAATAGGTACTTCAATATTCTTTAATGCATACTGTTATTTTTATCTGTTGTTTCTTCTCAGAATTTACATTTATCCTTTATTAACATCGACTGGGTATTGGGGTTTGTTTCGTCTATGTAGTATTGCCCTATGTACTTGGTACTCTGTTACTAACAGGAAAGGATATATTGACGGTTTCATGTATGGTTTGAAGGATTGCTGGCCAGGTTTTTCTGGTGTCTTGTTAATATAACAATGGTGATGGAACTATGTTATCTGTTTGTTGCTCATAGGGCTTCTCATACCATGGTTATGGGTTTTGGTGTTTAAGTGTGTACCTTTGGGTGTTTTGCGTTTATGTGTTTGTGTGTGTGTGTGTGTGTATGTGTGTGTGTGTGTGTGTGTGTGTGTGTGTGTGTGTGTGTGTGCGTGCGTGTTTGTGTGTGTGTCTGTGAGGAAAAAAATAGGACGTATGCCTCTTTTTCGACCTCTTTCATCCCAAAATTGACTTTCATGAATGAGGCCGACAGCAAAAGCCTGACATAATATTTTTTTTATGAAAGTTGCTGAATAATCTCTTCAGTTTTTTATACATCCTTCGTGAGATTTACGCTAGAGATAAAAGCTTGTTGTTCTGAGATCATAAAATTTCACAAGAAAGCTTTTATTCTAAAAAAGAAGTAGATGGCAACGTTTTTGGAAGAGACAATTGTTCCCAAAAGAGAACAGAGAAAAAGACGTGTAAATTTCGAGTTTATTGCAAAAGGGAAAAAAAACAAACCCCAAAACAAGATGTTATCTTCTCAACTAGTTTTTGATAAGTCTGTATAAATCGGCTGGTTTTAGTTTTGTTTTCTCAGTTTTGATTATTTGCTTACGTATTTATTTATTTTCGAATAGATTGCCTGTTTGTTAGTGAATGGAAAACAAAGAGGGAGGGGTGGAGACAGAGAAAGTGAAAGAGAGAGGGGGGAGATAGATAGATAGATAGATAGATAGATAGATAGATAGATAGATAGATAGATAGA